AGGTCCCTCGATCTGTTTAGACTGCACCCCATTGGCCAGATTAAAGCCAGCAACGAGGGACCTACCAATCGGGTGTTGTGGCTGTCCAGTCTACCCACCCACAACCAGGAGGTCAGTCTCCAGGTCTCACCGCAACACATGCCCTCTTTGAGGGAGGACACGCTTTACCAAAGGCCATCCCATGTTGATGCCTGTTAAACCGTTTATAAAAAATGCATACTTCTAGAAAAATGTCCCAGATCTCTGCAAATCTTCCTATACTCTTTCCAAATACAGTGGTACCTCGGGTTACATACGCTTCAGGTTACAGACTCCACTAACCCAGAAATAGCGCTTCAGGTTAAGAACTTTGCTTCAGGATGAGAACAGAAATCATGCTCCGGCGGCGCGGCAGCAACAGGATGCCCCCATTTGCTAAAGTGGTGCTTCAGGTTAAGAACAATTTCAGGTTAAGTACGGACCTCTGGAACGAATTAAGTACTTAACCCGAGATACCACTGTAATGCATCAGTACCATTGTGACATCAGTAGTCAATATCCCAATCCTCCTGGTCATCTCACACCTATTTGCATGCCAGCAGTCAAGAAATCTTGCACTCCGGAAAGGAGCAAACACAGGCACGGCCGTGCTTGTCTTGAAAGCAAATGGGTTAGACTGACCGTGCGCATTCAAAGGTGAATAACAACCAGCAGTTTCTGGAAATATAATTGCACCTCGGCACAGGAAAGGATCCCAAAAGATTAAAAAAAGAAAAAAAGACAGGAAGCAGGGTCCAAGAGAAGGGAAGCCAGGGCAGAGAAAGGGTAGAAAGGGACATTGGGCTGAGCACTCATCTTCCCCAACAGCTATAATTCATCTTTATAGCCAGGTTTCCACGCACCTCCCAACCACCAAGATCTCACGGGTTAATTTGCAATGTGATTTTTTTTTTTACCAATCTATTATGCTTAATGGGTTTTCTGTGCTTTATTTACAAACACCCAACTGTGATTGAGAAAAGACAGAGAGAATAAAATGGAGAGTGAGAGAGAGAGAGAGAGAGCGCACTATCTGTTCTATCAAGCATTGATTTTTCAGACAATTAAGGCTGGAGCACATGTTACTATGCTCCACCCTTACAACCTGGGGAAAAAATCAATGTAACGTTTGCCACAGGGATTCTGCCAAAAGGGATCCTTTCCTGGCCATCAACATTTAAAAGCACTTATTGTGCAGATCCAAGCTATTGCTACGAGAGCCTCCGGACCCCAGCACCACATCCCTGATGCAGAGGGGACCCAAGATACTTTGGCTGGCTGTGCCACTCTTTATGAATAACTCAGTCTAGAGGATCTTCCTGTTTAATTGATGACTCTATTTATGCTACTGGTAAGGGAGCTAAATTCCTTTTAACTTGAACACAAACTGGGAAGCCAATGGCAAAGGAAAGGCTGCCTTTTGGTGCTTCTGGGAATTTATCTGTATTCTTTTACATATATTATCACATTCTATCGGTCTGTGATCACAATAAATGGGTTAATTCAACGGCGGAAATAAAGCAAACTACCTAACTGATGGTTTGGTGTACTTTAATTGTGCTCCAATTAAAGGACACCAAACCATCAGTTATGTAGTTTGCTTTATTGCGCTCCAATGAGGGTGAAAGAGGAGAGTGCAAAATATGGTCTAAAGCTCAACATCAAATAAACTAAGATCATGGCCACTGGGCCATCACCTCCTGGCAAATAGAAGGGGAAGAAATGGAGGCAGTGAGAGATTTTACTTTCTTGGGCTCCATGATCACTGCAGATGGTGACAGCAGTCACGAAATTAAAAGACACCTGCTTCTTGGGAGAAAAGCAATGACAAACCTAGACAGCATCTTAAAAAGCAGAGACATCACCTTGCCAACAAAGGTCCGTATAGTTAAAGCCATGGTTTTCCCAGTAGTGACGTATGGAAGTGAGAGCTGGACCATAAAGAAGGCTGATCGCCGAAGAACTGATGCTTTTGAATTATGGCGCTGGAGGAGACTCTTGAGAGTCCCATGGACTGCAAGAAGATCAAACCTCTCCATTCTGAAGGAAATCAGCCCTGAGGGCTCACTTGAAGGACAGATCCTGAAGCTGAGGCTCCAATACTTTGGCCACCTCATGAGAAGACAAGACTCCCTGGAAAAGACCCTGATGTTGGGGAAGATGGAGGGCACAAGGAGACGGGGACGACAGAGGACGAGATGGTTGGACAGTGTTCTCGAAGCTACCAACATGAGTTTGACCAAACTGCGGGAGGCAGTGGAAGACAGGAGTGCCTGGCGTGCTCTGGTCCATGGGGTCACGAAGAGTTGGACACGACTAAACGACCAAACAACAACAACAAATTGTACTCCAAACTGCTTCCTAAGGACCAAAACAGGTGTGATGCAAATCCCATGAGTGGTCTTTGTGTGCTTACATTTTCCCCCCTTTACTAGAGAGTAGCCTTGCAGGGACCAAGATAGATGGGGACTACTAGGTGGTTAAAGGGGGAGGCGATTTACCCCAATCCTGATATGGGGAGTGAGATGTTGCTCTTGGAATAGTGAATAAATGGCAGCCATTGAGAAGGCAGGGAGGGTTTTTTTGAAGAACATCATTCTCTAGTAAACAAATAAAGATGGCAGTTTACTGCATTTCCTTGCCAGTGATGTAGAAATAGGTTACCGTATTTTTTGCTCTATAAGACTCACTTTTTCCCTCCTAAAAAGTAAGGGGAAATGTGTCTGCGTCTTATGGAGCGAATGCAGGCTGCGCAGCTATCCCAGAAGCCAGAACAGCAAGAGGGATTGCTGCTTTCACTGCGCAGCGATCCCTCTTGCTGTTCTGGCTTCTGAGATTCAGAATATTTTTTTTCTTGTTTTCCTCCTCCAAAAATTAGGTGCGTCTTGTGGTCTGGTGCGTCTTATAGAGCGAAAAATACGGTACCTATTTGAAACTGAACAGGACTGCAGCATTCTTTTGGAAGAAGTCCTGTAGAATACTCCACCAGCAGAGATGCAGCAAGCACCTTTTGTCTCAACCTATAAACCCCCATCAAAAACATTCCTTGACAGGCTTAAGCAGGCACTTAAGAATACATCTTTACATAATAGTTAGTTGATGGTCTCTGCTTTTAAAATTTAATTGTTTTTGTTTTTAATTAAATGGAGATGTTATTGCAAACTGCTTTAATATATTTAATGATATGGCAGTATATAAATATTTTTTTATAAATAAAAATATATTCCATTGCCTCTGGCAGGCAATGCTCTTTGGAACGACTGGATATACATCTGGAAAATCATTGACTGGTCCAGGAGCTCAGCTCTGAAATCACAGCAGTATCCCAGCTTTACCAAGCAGTGGCCAATTATTCTTGTTACACCACTCTTTAAAGAGCCATTAACATTAGTAGACTTTTCTCTCTCCTCCTCTTATACATGTATTAAAAAGTTAAAAAAAGGGGAAAAAAGAAAAAGTAAAGGACCCCGGACGGTTAAGTCCAGTCAAAGTCGACTATGGGGTTGTGGTGCTCATCTTGCTTTCAGGCTGAGGGAGCCGACATTTGTCCACAGACAGCTTTCCGGGTTGTAGCCGGCATGACTAAACCGCTTCTGGCGCAACGGAAGTACCGTGACGGAAACCAGAGCACATGGAAACACCATTTACCTTCCCGCAGCCACAGTACCTGTTTATCTACTTACACTGGCGTGCTTTCGAACTGCTAGGTTGGCAGGAGCTGGGACAGAGCAACAGGAGCTCGCCCTGTCGCAGACCACAGCACCACCCGCGTAGCTGTATTGTGTAGCCAGTTCACTACTACTAAAATCCCTTTCTTTCTTTCTTTTCCTCCTCCTATTAAAATAAATCAAGGTAGCTCACAAAAATCTAAATTGCAGCATCCAAAGAACCAAACTAAAATACAGCTAACCAACATTAATGCACTTCAAAGTTCTGAGAGACCAGATGAATGTTTTCAGTTTTCTTAAATTCAGTCACAGTTCTTCCCTACTCCCTTTCTCAACCCTTGTACGTCTGTAAGTTTTCTTTTTAAGATTGTAAAGCTACAGACAAGGTCCTTTCTTATCCACTTACCTGGGCGGCGGGGGGGGGGGGGAGTCCCACTCAGCTTCCTGGGGCTTAATTGAGTAGGCATGTATAGAAATAGGTACATTGTTAGTCAATTCCAAGCAGAGCAATCCTAATCCTAATTGGCCCAGTCAAGGAGAAAGGCATAACCAGTTTTTTTCCACAGCTGAGGGGCCTCAAATGGACCATTTTAGGTTTCAGTGGAAACTTGGACAGTCCTACTCTATTTCTGCCCCCACCCCCCAACAACCCCTTTCAGGGCACACTGGATACCACCAGGAGAAACAGGCAGAAGAGCCCTAGCAAGCAGAGCAAAGCAGAAGGACACCTTTCATTAATTCTAATCCCTTCCAGGACCACGAATCAAATATTAGGATTGTAACTTTATATTTTACGATAAACCCAGACGCTTAGACTGTTCATTGATCAGGAGGTTAGTTATTCCTCTGCCATGTTCACCACCTTTACTAAATTTGCACTTCCTGAACCAAAAATAGAAGCTGAAACACAGCTGTCCTTTGAAATTCCTACTTTTCTGAATGTTGCGAAAACAATGTGCAGAAACGCATTAACTGTATACTCGTGAAAATTGCTTCACTTATGCAAAGTTGTATAAACCAAAATGTACATATTAGGAGAAATGTGCATTGAAGTGTATATTTAATTTTTCAATCGAAAACTGATGTGGAAGTGGGACAAAACAAACAAAGACGGGAAAAACTAAAAAATGAGAAATCCAAGCTGCCAAATTTATCCATCCCTGTATGTTCCTGATCTTTTTGCATAGGCATGATAAGAATCTCCCCACTAGGGGGCAGCACCAAAACAGAACTGCTGAAGCAAGCTGAAGGAATTCCAGAGAACTCCTTGATAACAAAGGAGTAAATAAATAGCTTGTTTAATTTCCAAGTTAGAGCCATCCCAACAGCATCCAACTGATCCCCATGATTAATGATCATTTCTTCAAAAAAGGAGGAATTCTGGAAAATAATATGCAGCCTGTGACCCAAAATATTGACTCAGAGAAAGAGCGGTTGTCCCTGGAACTGACCAAAATGGCGGTGGGGCAAGGTTGCCCAAAAGAATTCCTGAAGAGACCTCAAAGGTACTGCCATCTGGGAGATTAATTTCCAAGTCCTATATAGATGGTGGTGAAACATTGTCTGTGGACCATTCATTTCACTCAAGTGCTCAAGTCCAACAAACTGTGAGGCAATGTTGTGAGGCAAGAGATACTGCCGCATCTGGGAGTCTTACATATACTTGTTGTTCAGGAACACAAAAGGAGAAAGTCTGGAGATACCCCAAACCGCACTCCACCTGCAGCTGCAACACCAGAAGTCCTTAGGGAGCATGCAAATCATAAATGAGCTAAATTTCAGGGGTGCTGCTGCAATCTAGAAGAAGAGGAGGAGGAGGAGGAAGAGTTTGGACTTGATATCCCACCTTTCACTCCCCTTCAGGAGTCTCAAAGTGGCTAACAATCTCCTTTTCCCTTCCTCCCCCACAACAAGCACTCTGTGAGGTGAATGAGGCTGAGAGAAAGAAGTATGACTAGCCCAAGGTCACCCAGCAGCTGCATGTGGAGGAGCGGGGAAGCGAACCCGGTCCCCCAGATTACAAGACCATCGCTCTTAACCACTACACCACACTGGCTCTCAGGAGCCAGGAGTCAGGAAGCCAAGAGTCCAAGGGTTAGAGAGCCGGGAGTCAAGAAGCCAAGAGTCCAAGGGTCAGGAAGCAAGGAGTCATGAAGTCAAGGGTCCGAGGATCAAGAAGTCACACAGTCAGAAGCCCGAGGATCAAGAAGCAAGGAGTCACAAAGTCAAGGGTCCAACCACTACACCACCCTAGCTCTAATGAGAAAAAAAGAGGCAGAATCTTCTAAAAGGTGGGAGGATATAAAGCCAGCTTAACAAAGCTTTAGGGGTTTGATATTTTAAGATTTAAAACAACACACATGCTCTTAAATGTTTTTTTTTTTCCTATAACCACTTTCAATGTGTTAGGAGTGACTGTATCATTTAAAATAATGTGAAGAGGTGGGGTAAATCCCAGCTAAGATCCCAGGAAAAGGAGGGAAAACCTCAGTATCTGAAGAGGAAGCCAAGCGCATGGAATTGCTGCTGGTCCCTGGTGGTTTTGCCATTTCATGATTTTTATGAAGAATTGTATTGCCAGTGAAATATCCTTTTCAGTGCATTGTTTTGTTTTATGTATTCTCCGCTCTGGGAGCTTAAGGGCCGGTTTAAAAGTTTGAAATAAATAGATTGATTAATCTATTTCGCTGGGTTGAGGATGGGTGATGGGAGAGAAGTGCGATAAAATGCTGTCCTGAACTCCTTCGGAGAAAATGTAGAATATACACATAATTAACAAATTACCAAAAAGAAAAAGAAAACAACCACAGGAAACCTGCAGTTTGGCATACAGTGGTACCTCGGGTTACATTCACTTCAGGTTACATACACTTCAGGTAACATACTCCGCTAACCCAGAAATAGTACCTCAGGTTAAGAACTTTGCTTCAGGATAAGAACAGAAATCGTGCTCTGGCGGCACTGCGGCAGCAGAAGGCTCCATTAGCTAAAGTGGTGCTTCAGGTTAAGAACAGTTTCAGGTTAAGAATGGACCTCCGGAATGAATTAAGTACTTAACCTGAGGTACCACTGTACTGGAATTGTATGCTTTAACTAACACATAGTTTGGAAAGCCTGGTATATATAGAGGAATTATTGGGCTGATTGGAAATTTCTCAGAAAAAATATATTCTGAGAAATTATCTGAGGATTTCCTTTTGAGAGGATTCCAGAGAGGAAAGAGAGCATTTTCCCCTACCCCACCTCTAGGCTATTTAACTGAGAAAGTGAATAACTTTGGATTCAGCAGATTCATCACCCCTCACCCAGGCATATCACACACCCAACATCCTGATAATTGGGGGCTCTTAAACCATGGAAGTGCCAGTGAGAGATCTGGCAGCGGCAGTTTCCTAACCACCTGGGCCTCGGACTAGTATACCTGAAGGAGCATCTCCACCCCCATCATTCAGCCCAGACACTGAAGTCCAGCGCCGAGGGCCTTCTGGCGGTTCCCTCACTGCGAGACGTGAGGTTACAGGGAACCTGGCAGAGGGCCTTCTCGGTAGTGGCACCCTCCCTGTGGAACGCCCTCCCATCAGATGTCAAAGAAATAAACAACTATCCGACTTTTAGAAGACATCTGAAGGCAGCCCTGTTTAGGGAAGTTTTTTATGTTTGATGTTTTATTGTACTTTTTAATCTTCTGTTGGAAGCCGCCTGATGGGCGGGGTATAAATAATAAATTATTATTATTCTAAATTATTACTATTGCAGTGGTTCTCAAAGGGTGCGATGCACCACAATACTGTGTCCGGAGAGGATGGCAAGTGTGGCAGGAAGAATTCAAAGACAAAGAAACATTTAACTATTTCAGTGTAGTATGGACATATGTACAACAAGAAGATTGCTAGGCTTCTGCAGTTCCCCATGACATTGTCATGAACAGGGATTTTCAACTCTGACAAATCTGAAAAGGCTTCTTTGTGTTGATGAGGAAATGAGAGTTTGCTTGTCTCAAATTAGACCTAATATAAATCAGATTACCCAGCAAAAGCAAGCTCACACACTATTAAGGCACATATGTAAGAAGCTCATTCATAATTATATTTTGGGAATGATTCATGTTGCTTTAAAAAACTTATTGGCTTTACAAAATAAATCACACATTTAACACAATTAAATTTCAAAATAAAACAAGATTCTTCCGAATCTTATGACTTCCCTCCTTCCCTCCATGGGTCATTTAAATATCATAATCAACTGCATATTGTAGTTCATCCAAATTATAGTCACCCAAAATATCCAAAGTCTTGGTAACATTGCAAGAGTTATTCAAAGCCTGCCAAAGATTTCAACTGAATTGTAATATTTGGGAAGTGGAAAAACCAAGGGTTAACTAGGTTCTAGCTGGAGGTATAGATCAGGTCACTTCATAACAGATTTGGAAAAGTCCAATTCTTCAAATACGACATCCCTGTTGGATATTGTCAGTTTTTTATTTGTTTTAAAACCTATGATTTTAAACAAATACGTTGCATTGTACTGGTACCTTTCTGAAGCTAAGCATGTCTGATCGGTGCTTGGATGGATGAGCCCTTGGGAAACACATATACACTGATGGGGAAAATGCAAGGTATTAATGTTAATGAATTATGACGCTGCAGGAGACTCTTGATCAAAACTTTCCAATAATAATAATAATTTATTATTTATACCCCGCCCATCTGGCTGGGCTTCCCCAGCCACTCTGGGCGGCTTCCAACCAGATATTAAAATACACTAATATATCAAACATTAAAAGCTTCCCTAAACAGGGCTGCCTTCAGATGTCTTCTAAAAGTTTGGTAGTTGTTGCTCTCTTTGACATCTGATGGGAGGGCATTCCACAGGGCGGGCGCCACTACCGAGAAGGCCCTCTGCCTGGTTCTCTGTAATTTGGCTTCTCACAGTGAAGGAACTGCCAGAAGGCCCTCGGCGCTGGACCTCAGTGTCCGGGTAGAACGAAGAGGGTGGAGACGCTCCTTCAGATATACTGGACCGAGGCCATTTAGGGCTTTAAAGGTCAGCACCAACACTTTGAATTGTGCTCGGAAATGTACTGATTTCTTAAGGAAATCAGCCTTGAGTGCTCACTGGAAGGACAGATCCTGAAGCTGAGGCTCCAGTACTTTGGCCATCTCATGAGAAGAGAAGACTCCCTGGAAAAGACCCTGAGGTTGGGAAAGATTGAGGGCACAATGAAAAGGGGACGACAGAGGACGAGATGGTTGGACAGTGTTCTCGAAGCTACCAGCATGAGTTTGACCAAACTGCGGGAGGCAATGGAAGACAGGAGTGCCTGGCGTGCTCTGGTCCATGGGGTCACGAAGAGTCGGAGACGACTAAACAATTAAACAACAACAACAAATTAATGTGATATATATATATATATATATATATATATATATATATATACCAACACCCACACACCAAAGCAATTTTTTACAACATCGGGGCTCTCTCAACTGCAAAGCTAAGTGCAATAATTTTAACAAATATAGATTGAGAAAGTAGAATTAAACTGGAAGCTAAGGGTCGACTCTGTGAATGTTCCTTCCTGTCTCTAAAGTATTTTGTGCCCCTGCCAAAATGAGACCCCCTTTCCCCTCGCTTAAGGTAATGGGAAGTGCAGCCCCATAAGCAGGGCTTGCAAATGAAAAATGTTTATCATTCATGCTTCGGAGCCTTCATTATGTACCCAGGCCCAGTCGTTTTCAGGCGAGGAGAGCGTTCCTCATCCCCAGTGCATGCCATTTATAATGCGGCCCTGCTGAAATATCCACACCACTAACATCTGTCTTCCACTGCAAGAAAAAGGGGAGAGATTCCCATAGATAAAAATGCACATGAGGGCAACAAAAGAAAGGAAAACCTATGACATAGTCAAATTTTATTAATGGATCAACCATATGCATCCAGGGAATAATTAACTATTCACAGGTGAAATTAACTGATAGGAGTGTCTGTCGCGAGCAAATCGAATGAGCTCTGATTATATCAATAGTTTTCAACCAGTGTCCCGTGGTTATCAAACTATCAAATAAATTTGTCCACTCTCTTCCTTTGGGGTATAAAAAGGAAAATAAAAAAAACTTTAATTACCCGGCCACGGTGTATGGCAGGTCATTAATAAAAGCTAGTTATCTAGCTGCCGGTTTTAGAGTTTTTACTGTTATCAATCTTTTATCTAAATAAATGTTTGGGAAATGTCCTTAAAATTAGTTCCGCTACTTTGCCCCAATGGCTAAACAGATATTTGAAAATAATAATAGGTTTTTTTTATAAAAAAAAACTTTGCAAGATTTTACAGTACAGTATACAGGATGTCACCTCCAAGCTGCCTTCTCTGCTTTCCCCTTCCACCAAAGGAATTGAATTATGGAGTTTGGCTGCACATACATTGATGAATCTAACCAACCTGCAAATGCAGATAAGAGTAAAATCACTTGATGGCTTAGTCCTCCTTAATGTATATTTACTCAGC